ATATGTTAAATTGCATAAATATTTTTACCATTATTTTTAGGGTGGCAACAAACAAACACAACAAACACGAAGTATTCCAAACCAACATCACCGTATAGACAACATGAATCGCCACCACCTATCCACTTTGTACGAACGAATTATCCATGTTTTTGAAAAATTAAAATATTCTGATAATTGTAACTATATAGTTTTCGTTAAATATATTTTTAATTTATTTGCTTACAGACTGCTGATGACGGTAAACATTCGTTACTTCAATTCGCCATGTATAATTTCAGACACAGCTCGGAGAAGTAATTCATATTATTTATCGACTAGAGTTTCACAAAAATATAATATGTAAATGTTTTTCGTTTGATGTGCATCTAGGTTTGACATGCTGAAATCTGCGAATGGCGAAATCAACGGTTCGCTGAAAGTCATACAAAACTCCAAGAAAAAGAGCGACGATTGGACGTGGAAAGAACAATTGGAAATGGTAAAATACACAAATGTCCCGATACCCGAGTCGCTCCTTAAATTGGACCCGGAGTTAGACGCACTGGCCATAGAATGCTTCGAATGCGTTATGAGGTACATGGGCGATTTGCCTACAACGCCCGAGTTCACAGAAGTCAAATGCGTTTACACCATTCTCATGGTAATATTTCGGACACCACGAACTGTATAAACATTATGAATAATATAATTTTTTGGCGTTTGTGTGTTCAGCATTGCCATAAATTTGAAAGCTTAAGAGATGAAGTATACTGTCAGCTAATGAAGCAAACGACCAACAACAAAACGGAGACATGCCAACGAGGATGGCGTTTGCTCAGTATCGTCGCGGCGTACTTTACGTGCTCCGAGAACCTAAGACCTTTCTTGCTCAAGTACTTAGAAACAGCTGCATACGACAAGAGGAGAGCTTTCCACGGTAATAAGTTAAAACTAATAATCAATTATGGTTTGTTGTGCTCACATTATAACTTATATAACCAYCGTCTAACCATCTCGTCCATGTCAGACTTAAAATAATAATAATATTTAATTAAAAATTAAAATTTGAAATTTTCTGATGCACCAATAAAAATGATCTGTCAAACGAATACTGTTATTGTATTCAATTTTATTTAAGGCCTAAACTGCTGTTGGCATTTTTTTCGTTTTAGGTAGTTCTAGTATTTGAATTTATTTAAAAATTGTCATTTACAATTAATACGTTTGGTACAAAACAATAAACAATTGATGATTATTTAATCATAGCAATTTAATYATATTAGTTTTAAATCTTAACTCATTTACGGTCAACGAYATGTGTTGCTATACATATAACAGGCCAACTGTGCATGGTGATTAGATRTGATTTTTTTGTTTATTTAGGCACTGCAAACGTATGCCTCCAGAACTTGCGAAAGACGTTGAGATACGGTGGCCGGAAAAACGTGCCCAGTGTTGAGGAGGTGACCGCCGTATCGGCCGGTCGTAATTCCAAGAGACAGATGTATCGGTTGCCTGGTGGCAGTGAAACCGTGGTMAACACGAAGTCCACAACCGTGGTAGCCGACGTCATTGCCGGCATGTGTTCGCTGATCAACGTCAACGACCCGCTGGAAATGGAGGAATTCTCACTGTACTGTATCGTCGAAGGCGACGCGTTCACGATGCCGTTGGCCGCTGACGAGTACATACTGGACGTGACTACTGAGCTTCACAAAAACCAACAGGTAATCACCACGTGGTCCGCGAACGTTAAATCAAATGAAATCCATTCCT